GAAAGGCTTATGTCCAGCATTGACAGTTACCGGCTGAAATAATAATAATAAAAAATATTACCACTTACTAATGCATCGCCAGCGTATACTAGTAGAACAGGCAGTGTTACCATTCCATTCTCACTTAATTATCATCCATTTAAAAATAATAAAAAGTTATAATTGTAGAGGCTTTAATTGCATGCATCGTTGGCACACCCCTTAAAAATTAAACTACATTATAAGTTATCCATGTACATTATTTAAAATATAATTGCATATCAGTAAAAAAATAGGTAATATTTCATACATACCCTGAATCAAAACTTTTCAGCAAAAGAACGAACTAACTTACAGTACAGGATTCTCGTCCCATAAGACCCGTAATAATATCCTTACGCACACTGACGGTTGTGGCGCGTAATATTCTGGTCACGTACACATCATCGCTTACGTTTCTAGGGCCATTTTTACGCGGCGCATACAGCTGTCGCTGCGTGATTGTTTGATAGACCTCAAGTTTGATTTTATTTTTCCTTGTGTACAGTCACACGCAATAATGTATACAATTTATTATATTGTCACACTCGTGACAGTTTGGTCACATTTATATATAGTCGGTTTATAAATATTACTGAAATGTACAAATTCAGTATGTAGACTGTATATGCAATTATTACAGAACAGCCATTTTTACAGAACGCATACAGCTGTCGTTGCGTAGTTATTTGATATCTCTTAGTTTGATTTTATTTTTTATTGTGTACAATCACACGCAATAATGTGTACAATTTATTATATTGTCATATTCGTGACAGTTTTGTTACATTTATATATAATCGGATCATATATATTATGAAATGGACAAATGCAGTATATACAACCACATATAATAATTTGATTATTGTAACAACTTTATCAAATTTATACATAATTGAAATATAACGAGGTATTAATAATATATTCATAATTGTACATGTGACAAATTATAAAAAAAAATATATTAATAAATACTTAATATAAAATCGGTTATCCCGACTGACTATTAACACACGGCCAAATTCTACTAAGTTTAGAAAGTTGTAATTTGGGTACATTAACACAAGTACAACATAGGATTACTTTGTAATATAAGTATCAGCGAAAAATTATTTTTGAAAATTTCATCTTAAGAGGAATACATATAAATTCTACTGGATTTATTACAACATCTGGTCTCTAATTAAACGTAGCTTGTATTGAAGAACTGATGGGCATACTAAAACAAGACCAATACAAACAAGCATACTTATGAATAGAAATGTTTGTAATATGGGATCGAAGCTACGATCCTCAAAATCTGAAGCAGTATCTTTTGTTAATTACATTTAATATATTAACAGTAAATCATTGTCATTACATTAGCCACTTATACAACAAAACTTAGCTTTTAGGTATACAATATATCATTTATATGGTATTATTCAGATCCAGACATTAATTAGGATATCCTATGAATATGTAAGCTTAAGAAACATAATCAAGACGAAAGCCAAATAATGGAAATTAGTTCTCTAAATCAAGCCAATCAAGAATGTAAATAAACCAGACCTAATTCATCCTAATCAATATGATAAACTTCTTATTAAACAAGATGAAACAGAAATCGATACTGTCTTTGAAAGTGTTCTGTTAGTAGAAATGAACATTTATACCAAAGAAAATTCTATTGAAAAGGACAAAAAAAATATTGAGACTTCTCCCTACTACGGTAATGTTAAGTTAGGAGGCTGAAATTAATTAATTAATTTCTTACTATTATTATTATTCTTATTATATATATAAATAGTCTGGCCATAAATACTGTTATATAATAATTTTTCTTTTTTTCAACTTTTTAATTATTTTGAATTTTGAACACATTTATTACTTTAAAACTTCTTTCGATTTCGCGAATTCACATATTTTTTCGTGTTCATTATCAAATTACAATATGGAATGGTGTGTTAAAGAAAATAAAACGGAGCATATGGTGAGGGTAGGCAGCAGTGTCCCTCTTAAAACATCTGTACAAGCCTAACTGCGGTTGTCAACCCGCCTGCCAAACGTAGCAATTGCTGGCAAAACTCCCTTTATGGTGGACAGTTAACAGCTGAAATTATATATATATATATAATTATTTTCGTATATAATATACGAATTTTAAAGACATTTAAAAATCTTATTTCCAAAATTCATTCAGTGTTTACCACCTACTAGTTTATCATTATGTTATACGTGATCTTTTGTAAATAATCAGGGCAAGAAAACAATGTTATTTGCCGACCCATATAATAACATAGCATGAAGTATTATAACACATATTACCATAAACTTGCTAGTCATCGCTTAGGAATAGCGATTTAATTATAATGGACTATAATTGAAGGTTGTGATTAAAATACTTTTTCAACAATAACTTTTACAGTTGCGTGATAGCTCGCCTTATTTCATTTAACTAAATGAGGCCTAGGTTATTATGCAGTTTAGAACAAAAGCTTTTAATGAGTAGTAATTTGATGAGATATATTTCTAAGAAAATGTCATTTAATTAATTGTAAAATATTAATGAGACGGAAATAAGTAGGCGGGTAACGCAGACCAATGCCTTGCCATAGATATTATAATACTGGTTATCTATTTTGTTCGTATTGTAGAAATTTGTGCATTGCTGAATTGCCATTCAATAACATGTGTAATAACATGTGATCCCGGCATAAAATATGCCGCCCCTTCTTTTCTCGTGAATATCGTAAGAGGTTACTAAGAGAAATTAATGGTCGAGGGATAGGCAACAGCGCCCTTCTTAAAACATAACCAAAGGTAACAAATCCATCTGCCATAGGCAACTACAAGCAAAATCTTTCAATAGAGAGAGGTCTATGTTAAACACTGGATAGATAATGAATGATAATCACGACTAAGGCAAATATAAATATGGATCCTTTAACTTTAGCCATGACGTAGATTATGCAATTTACATAATGTACTCGTACATACTAATGTGCATTGCTGAGTTGCGATTTAACAAAATAAATTGTGAATTACATAGATAGTGGATATATGTAGATACATATACTATGAACTTTGCTTTCTATGTATTAATTTCATCATTTCCATATAAAAGAGGCATGAATGAAAGCATAAATCATTAGGGTAAGGGACAATGTAAAAGTGGTAGTATAGCATCGCAGAACATCAAGACATTCTTCATATTTTCTTTAGAAGATATATCAATTACGAAGCATAAAGGATGGCAGTACAAGACTTGAATATGAAAAAAGAATAATAAATCCAATAAACCTTAGCTCCATAAGCCGAAACTATTTTTAAAACGGAATATATTGGTCAAACCGTCAGAAGCAAATGGCCACTGTGACAAATTGCACCGTAGCACGGAGCTTGGTCAATTTGCTTCATGTTCCTTATAACATTTTTATGATGGGCGTATTAAAACTGGTAGATATTTTTTTAAATTATATAATAATGTTTTTTTTTTTTTACTACAAAATTAAGCAATAAGTATATAGCTCGTCTGATGGTAAACTGTCAAATACTATGGATACTTGCAATAGCAAAGGTGTTCAGTGTGCATTGCCAAGCCGGAAGAAATCTTAAAAAACACTCTTTTGAACATACATAGAATCTAGGGAAAACCTCAATCAGGAGTTTAAAGAGATTAAAGCGTTTACGGAATAAAACTTCTCTGACATTGACCATGTATTTATGTGACCATTTAGGTTTTAAGGTATAAGAATGTTCCCTATCGATGACAAAAACTACAATGATACGAGTAGAGAATGACCATGGATATGATGAATAATTTCCCAGAGCGCAGCTCGTTATACAAACAATTTCCTAATTAATACGCTTAAAACAGTTCACTCCTGGCATAGAATGGTGCACTCCTTCCTTTCCTGTGGATACCGTAAGAGGCGACTAAGGGAACTTAATAGTATAGGGATAGTCAGCAGCGTCTCTGTTAAAACATCACCAAAGCCCACCTGCTTCATTGTCATTGTAAGCTTACCGTAGTCCACTGCTAATCAGGCTTTTCCCAAGGAAAGCCATTCAGTACGTCGGTTATTCGTTTCTAGTTTATATCTAGCCACCATATGTATATAATTATGTCGTCACACCACTTAATTGCAGCTCCTACTACACTGCATAATTTTTAAATTAATGAAATGTTATTTATTACATTGAGTTAGTCCTACTTGATGGTATTGTATGTCGAATAAAAGCTGCAAAATGTATTCCGTGACATTCACCTTATTATCATAGTAATAAATGACAGTCACCACTCTCCATCAGCTTATGTCGTATTAGTTTTTGTCCATGGCTTCGTCTGCGTGACCGGGAAAAAATATATAACAGCCTACTGCCTTCTTTGTCCAAAATTCTACATGCACACCAAATTTTTTGACGACTGATCGAGCGTTAAAGTTATCTAGAGACAAGAAACAAACAAACTGATAGAGCTCTTTCACATTTATAATACTTGTAGGGATTCCCAGGAACGAAATACAATCTACACGTTAATTTATCAAATGAAACCCGTGAAGAAAATACCATTTAAAATACTTCTAGTAATAATTTCAATCTTGAATATTAGATCAAATGAAATGTAATTTAGCGGTCTTTTATTACATAGGAAAATTACGCTTGGAAATATAATTCAGATTCAATTCCCAGTTGAGTTAATTTGGGAAACGAACATATCCAAATGGGGTCAGTTCCGAATCCCCTGATATTCGTCTTATGGTTTTTCATAACACGACTTTAACATTAAATGACATTATTATTGTTTTGATACTGTTGTGTTTTGTGGGTTTCTATATTGGGCGTAGTATTTAAATGCTATTATTATAAACAACAGATTTATTATACGTATTAATTTTGTAAAAGCAAGCGATAGCAGACAGCGCAAATCTGACAGAGCATTTTGACATTTCGTGTTGAGGTGCGTTCCGAGCGTACGTAACACTCCCCCACGTTGTAACTTAAAGGTTCAATCTGTTTGTAGGTTTTCTGATTCTCGTACTTCGGCGAAGCACAACTGGTTGCTCGACACCACTCGGAGATGCCGGCGTAGCTACTGGTGCGAGCTGTGGCTGTGTCACATTCTCTGTAATAGAACCTGGAACAAATAAAGATTTTCTTTTCGAAACAGGCTTATTATTCTCCGTTCCTGTTTCATGGCAGGGTGAAGTTTCCAGTACAGGTGAGTCAGGTAAGTATTCTCTCCCATCAGGTGTATAATTCAATCTTCTTTCTTTTTCAGGTGATGATACAGATGTCGCAGCTGGCGTGGCTATCAACTTAGGTAAGTGAGGTAAGTATGTAACATCATTTCCTTGAGTACACATAGTTCTTCTTATCTGATCTATATGCCTTGTATGTATTTTTCCATCCACTTCCACATTGTAGTGTAGTTTTCCTTTCTTTTGTATTACTTTCCCAATTTTCCATTTATTACTGTCATAGAATCTAATCTGCACTCTGTCTCCTTCTCTATATATTTTATTAAATCCTTCTGTATTTTGTTTCATATTCATTTCTGTAGTTAGATCTCTTTTTACTAAGTCTATTTTTGTTCTATATAACCTTTTAAACATCATTTCCGCTGGACTTAATCCTGTAGTATTATTAGGAGTTTTTCTGTACATCATCAAAAATCTTGATAACTTTTCCATTAATGTGCCTTTCTCATGGATCATGCTTTTAATTTTATTTTTAAAAGTTTGTACATATCTTTCAGCCTGTCCATTTGTAGATGGATGAAACGGTGCTGTAAACTTGGACTGAATTCCATTTTCTTTCAGAAATGTCATCATTTCTTCTGAACGGAACTGTCTTCCATTATCTGATACTATAGTTATAGGTAGTCCAAATGTAGTAAATAAGTTTTTTAATATTTTAATAGTAGCTGTAGTTGTTATGGATGTAGTAGGTATTACTTCTAGCCATTTGGTGTATGCGTCCACAACAATTAGAAAATATTGATCAAAAAATGGTCCTGCATAATCAATGTGAATTCTACTCCATGGTTCTTTTGGGTATTCCCAACTGTGTATAGGTATTTTTGCAGGATTTTTCTGTAATAAACAACATGGTTTACATTCATTTACCATTCTTTCTATATCTGCATCTATATTTTTCCACCAGACATAGCTTCTTGCTAGTGCCTTCATTTTTACAATACCAGTATGAGCTGTATGTAATTCTTGTAGAATTGCAGGTTGTAATTGTTTTGGAATGACTATTCTTATTCCATAGAAAATGCAGTTACTTTGTATAGAAAATTCATGTAGTCCTTTTGTATAATTTGTACCTGATTGAATATCCTGATATAATTTCTGTAATTCTAAATCTTTAGCTGTAGCTTCTTTAATTTTCTGGAATGTAACTGGTAGTACTGTAAGTTGATTCAAGTAGAATACATCATCATCTGTTAGTTGGTTATAGTTTACTGTAGGGTGTTCTAACCTTGAGAAATAATCTGCATTTGCATGTTCCGTAGACTTCCGTACTTTTATATTGTAGTCAAATCCAGCAAGAAAATTTGCATAGTGTAATAGTCTTACAGCGGTAGTTGTAGGCATAGGCTTTTCCGGATGAAGTATTCTTGCTAGTGGTTGATTGTCAATTATTAATGTAATCTTGCGTCCATAGCAATAATGAAAGAACTTTTTCAAACCCCATATCAATGCTGCTGCCTCTTTATCCAGCTGGCTGTAGCCTTTTTCTGCACTGGTAAGTGATCTCGATGCAAATGCTATCGGTCTCTCCTTATTATCTGGCATAATGTGTGACAACACTGCACCAAATCCAACAGGTGATGCATCAGTAGCTAATGTAATTGGTAAGTGTGTATGAAAGGGTGTAAGTACCTTTTCGCTACATATTTCCTTCTTTAATTCTTGAAATGAAGTTTCACATTCTTTTGACCATATAAATTTTATATTTTTCTGTAGAAGTGTATATAGAGGATTTAGTTTTGAAGCTAGATTAGGAATGAATTGTTGGTAATAATTAACCATTCCTAGAAATGTTCTTAATGTAGATTCATCAGTGGGACGTGGACTATTCTTAATATCATTTACTTTTTCTTCAGTAGGATGCAAGCCGTTCTCATTTATTTTATGTCCCAAGTATGTAATAGATTTCTTCAAGAATTGGCATTTATTTTTATTTAAATGTAGTCCACACTCTTTTAACTTTTGAAAGATAGTTTGTATTCTTTTTAATAATTCTATGTATGTCTGTCCTTGAATAGCTATATCATCGAAGAAACAGGCTGTACCTGGTAGTCCCTGGAGGGTCTGATCCATGTATCTTTGCCATTGATTTGGAGCGACTTTGACACCAAACATTAGTCTATTGACTTTAAATGTACCTTTGCATGTGCTGATGGCTTGCATTTCAGCTGTGGCTGGGTCAGTTTTCATGTGTAAATATGCCTGATTTATATCCAAGGTACAGAAATATCTACCACCACTTAGTTTGGAGAAAACTTCTTCCACTCTTGGGATTGGGTACTTATCATCAAGTAAATTTTTATTTAATGTGGCTCTGTAATCAGCACACAACCGTACACTGCCATTCTGCTTCACGACTGGTACTACAGGCGTTCCCCATTGTGAATATGTAACTTTCTCTAATATCCCAGCCTTCTCTAATCGATCAATTTCGTTTTCAACTTTTTCTTTTAGTGCAAACGGTACTGGTCTTGCCTTGATGAAAATTGGTGTAACATTTTCTTTTAAGCTGAATTTCACTGTGTAGTTCCTTATTTCTCCAATTTCTTCTGAAAATATCTCTCTATATTGATCTATTAATTTTTCTAAATTTTTCTTGTATTGTTCTTCAGTTATATCATTTTTCCCTATCTCTATTTTATTTATTTCCAAACGTACTCCTAATTTTCTTAACCATTCTCTTCCCACTACTGGGTCGACTTTCCTATTAAGAACAAATAATCTTCCTGTAATTTTCTTATTTTTGTATTGTATTTTTATGTTACAAATTCCTATTGGGTTTATAATTTCACCAGTATAAGTTCTCAATTTTATTTTTGAATTTTCTAGTTTTAAATCACTGAAATATTTATTATAATATTCTGTAGAACAGGTGGTGACTGCGGCTCCTGTATCCAATTCCCATGTATGTCTCTCTTTGCTATGTAATTGTAATGTAATTTTAAACTTTTCATCCTTTTCGCTGTTTTCTATTTTATGTATTTCATAAATTTCATCTTGACTTGAATATTCTTCATCTTCAATTGTTGTAATTTGTTTTTGCGACTTAAAGCAAACTGATTGGATGTGTCCTTTTCGGTTGCACTTTTTACAATATAATTTATTCTTTAAATAACATTTATTTGCCTTGTGGTTTGATTTTCCACATCTATAACAGCTGCCTTTCTTACCTGTATTTTTGTAAATTTTTGGTATAGGTTTTTGTGAAATTTTATTAATATTGGGCATATGAACATCTGGCCCCATTTGTTGGGTTTCACTTTTGGATGTTTCGATTGCCATTGCAATCCTTATTATTTCATCAAATGATGTTTGTGATGATTCTTGTAATAACCTTTCTTTAATTTCTGAACTGCGAAGACCTCGTATGAATTGTACACGTAAATGTGTATCAAATGTTGTAGATTTACATGAATTGCAGATAAAATTGCATTTTCCTCCTATTTCCTTTAGTCCCGCTACGTAGTTAGCGATAGATTCATTTTCATTTTGAATCCTTAAACAGAATTTGTGTTGTTGAGCAACTTCTCCTGGTTCTGGTGCAATATGGTTCTTTAATATCTCAACAAGTTGTTCATATGTTTTATTTTCCAGTGTATCTGGAGCAGTAATATTTTTGAGGACTTGGTAATATTTAGCACCAATACAATTTAAGAAGATTTGCAACTTTGTAACAGGGCTTGTAACCCCTTTAAGATTAATATAATTGTTCAATCTTTGTATGTATGATCCAAAAGATTCGTGGAGTTCGTCATAAGGTTGTAAAACAATACCACTTACTGTGTTATTACTTGTAGTTTGCTGTTGCTGCATAAACATGGTTTGCATCTGCGCTTGTTGGTTCTGCACTGTACGTAGTGTCTCGGCGAGTGACGACATAAGTTGCGTAAATTGTACTTCCATTGTAATGGATACAGGAATTTGTGAAGCGGGCTATCATCACAGGGAAAGGAGCCCCTGGATTGGAAGGAAGGGTATGTATGTAGGAACAATTGGGTTATTGAACACGTGGCTGTCCCGCCATTTCACTTTAGGTGTACCGATTAATGCTGCTGTACCAGTTAATCTTCGATCCTCGTCGCCAGTCTGTTGTGTTTTGTGGGTTTCTATATTGGGCGTAGTATTTAAATGCTATTATTATAAACAACAGATTTATTATACGTATTAATTTTGTAAAAGCAAGCGATAGCAGACAGCGCAAATCTGACAGAGCATTTTGACATTTCGTGTTGAGGTGCGTTCCGAGCGTACGTAACAATCACTAACTAGCATGTAGGTACTGACAATACGTGAGCTACAAGAAGACTTTTGTCGTGGCTAACCGGATGACGACATTGCGTGCTCTCTGAATTATGAAGTAAGGGAAAATTGTTTGTTTGATTGTTCTATATATGAATTTCTAAATTCAAACATTTAGTCTTAAAAGATACTTAAACTAAATATTTCATCTTAAAATATGAGTCAGGAGAGCTTCGCTATAGTCAAGCGGTGTACAACTAAACTATTGCTTCATTTAATTATTATATTATTATTATGATATTTATATAATTATTCTATTTATCTTATTGTATCGTGTATGTTACACAATAAATAATATACTGTTATATTCATATATAATATTTATATAATGTATAAAGTCTAGTTAATAGTATACTATAGACTTCATCTTGTTCCTCGAACGCTACCTATCAAGTGGTAGCTACACTGAAAATCAGCGCTATAGCAAGACGTTACGGCTTAAGTTGAGTGGGGATTATTTCAGCTAGTATCACATAATTATTACTCCGATGTATAAAGTTGTCATTAATATTTATATGTTTTGTAGTTAAATTAATGACTTTATCGTTATATTTACAAAAAATCATTAACCGAAAAATAATTTTAAATTTCGTTAACTCACCATCTGTCTTATGAGACGGGGTGGTTAACCACATTAACTTTCACTTTTAGTTTTAAACAAATGCCAAAATAAGTCTGTGGGTATTAAACGAACAAGCCACTGCTCTCGAAACACTATTAATTTCGCATTTCGTATCATTTTGCTCGCTCGCCTCTTGCAATTAACTATGTTAATATATTTAGGTATGCAACCACATCTCATTTGTCCGTGATTTTATTACTATTTCAGAAACTTAGTCTCTAGATTTGTTGTCTGAATTTAATAAAGGTAAGTTACGAGCTTTTCAAAATTTAATTATGAAGTTTTATTATGATTTACGTAATGTTAAATCACAATTAAAAAGTAAACTGATTATTCAGTTTAGGTATTTTTAATTATGTATAATTACAACTAAGTATGTTTTCGAATATTTGTCTTCTGTTGTAGGTATAACACCTAGCTTCGCCCGCTGAATTTGAACAAAAATCTATATTTTAAAATTTTATTATTTTTTAATTTCGTTCAGTCATAATTATGTAAAATATATTTACATACATTTATATGTTTTCAAACTTAATACTAATAGTATTTAATTCGCTTGTTATAAGAGGAGCCAACTTCTAGTTCAATCTCCATTCCCCATATATTATATGCATAACCCCATCATAATTAAACTTTGAGTTTATTATTTTTATAGAATTTACTACATATCAGGCATAAATGAATGATAAAAAATATTTATTCTATATAGTACCATCCAATATTTTATTTATAACAGTGACCCCATTATGTAAAAGCCGAGCCGTTTTACTATCACGCAACAAAATAAGATTTAAGAGGCCAAAGTTTCAATAAAAACATAACGAGATCCAGTGTGTAAAACAAAAGATTTATCTTCTTGCTCTCCACAAGGGTTCACACATAAATAAATTCATACACTCCATTGAAAGTCGAGCGGTCTCCGCCCGGCTTTGAGTGTTTTAAAAGCAGGTTCTTTGATATATTTGCAGGAGGAAGCGTCGAATTCCTATAGTCTTTTTAAACTAGAAGTATTGGTACTCTACGAGTAAGTAGTTCATATTATACAAATGTATAAATATTTGAGCACTTTGGATTATAGCCGTACTTTCGACGCGTAAGTGAAAATAAAAATGTCCAGAATTAATCCTAAGTCAAATCCTAAGTCCTATGAGTACTCCAAACATAAAGCAAACATTTGTAAATGTTAATATTTATGCATAGTTTATTATTGAGATTGATATATAGAGTTTTAAAAAAATTAAGACTTATAAAGCTCATTAAATGGACCAGATAACTGGTGCTATGTATTATGTAATTTATTATTCTAATGACTCATTTAGACATCATGAAATTTGTTATTTGATTCCGGTAAATCAATATGTCCCGACAATATAGACAAAGTTGCAAGCAGAGCTAGTTAAAATATAACGTAGGTACGAAACTTAGATAAATTTATACACAACTCTTTATCACATGTAGATATGTCATCCTCTCATAACACCTCATAATCCTTCTCAAGTGCCTATCTTGACATATATTCGGATTCAGAACATAGTTAATAGTTATCTCGAAAAGTCCAATTAATCGTCTCCAACCAACTCCGACGCGGACCGCATTACACTGTCACGGCGGTGTGTCGTACGTTTGACAAACGAATCTGTGACGTGTGAGCGTGACGAAGATAACGTCCGACGAACGAATGGGCCACGTCTGGAATACACTCAGCCGATAATCATGTTATTTTCTGGAGACAAATACACGGGTTGCATCTCGGAACGTTTCTGCTGCGTCCGAGTTGCTGACATGAAAACTAGATATATACAGGTATGACGTTACTGACTTTATTTCTTTATTAACCTAGTTTCTTCATTTAGTAATAGTAACTGAATAATTTGTTATAATTTTTAGTCAAGCGGCTTTAAACATCAACGCCAAATGTCTTGCGACTAAAAATATTTCAAGCTCTAAAATGGGATATGGTCAATGAAAGATACATCCTTTGGTACCAAATTTCATTAAAATTTTTGCAGCCATTTATAATGTGTGTTCGATTAAATATACAAACATAATCTTGATAAACTTTCACGATTATACTATTGGATTAAATTTCTTTATTAAATATAGTTGATGTCATGTTCTTAATTAAATAGAGCTTCTCCATTATTTTATTCATACTTTTTTCGTATTAGTTTGTAGTTAGTATACTAGTTGGCATCAGTTGTATGTTATTTAGGCCTCATATGAAATGGTTATTCCCGCCTTTTATTTCGTTAGTCGCTTTTATGACTATCATGAATGGAGCGATGCAGTGGCCTGGTTTTATATACCTGTGAGTATTTACTTCAATGGGGATAATAAACTTTATCTTTAATAGGAAAAATTTCTCAATTTAACTGTATTATATTTTTATTTTTGTTTGGTTTAAGTATATTATACGATATAATATGCAATAGAATTCTAATGTTAGCTTTGTATTATGTGTCACTAAAATTAAGTTTTTAATTTAGAGAATAAATTTATAATTGTCATCCTTATAATTTAATTCCAAAATTAAAGTTTTTATTTTTATTTTTATACTACTTAGAATGGCAAACAAAGAAGAAAATCGTTAACGATGCAATAATTAAATTGAATACGATACCACTTACCTGAAACTACCGAAATTATTATACTAAATTTACATATTAAAGTCTTTGTAGGTATATAAGAAAACAGTAGTAATATTTTTAAAAATTCATATTCAAAATTTTATGACATACGATATAAAATCTTAATCATTAGTATTTTTTATGAAAGTGTTATAATGTTGTGAAATTGTTCATTGTTCCAAAAAAAGTATAATAATATGTTAAAATGAAGTAAATTTGTTTTTTTTTATACAACTTAGAATGGCGAACAAGCTGACGGCCCACCTGATGGAAAGTGGTAAACGTCGCCTATAGACATGAGCAGTACCATAACAGAGTATACTGTTTTGCTCATGATATTCCCCATGCGTTACCATTTACGGTTGAAACACGAATGGGACAGAGGTACCCAAGCAATCAACTTTTGTTTTCTAGGTATCACATAATATATAGTAAACTTTTCAAATTTTTATCATATTTTAGTGCTACTTACCTTATAAGGATTACTTATGATTTCTAGTTCACATTATATTGAAGACGAATAAAAATACTCCTGTATAAATAAAATACGTAATAAAAATCGTCAATAATGAAAAAAAAATCGGTAGTCTTACACCCAAATATGACCTCGTATGTTTTAGCACTAACAACACACTCAGAGATTCACAAGCACCGTCATTGCTCATTCGCATGGAAATCTCTAGAATATCACACCGTTGCGTAATGAACGACTCGATGGGGGAAAAGTATCAGTGAGATTATTGAAAATTGAAATTTTTGTATGGCTTTGATCTGGAGGCATTTGAAAAGCTACGTAGGATATTGCGACAAATTTATTTGAATAAGAGTTATAAGGATTTAAAATCTACAGTATAACATCTTCTGTATCAATATATTGTATATAATACAAGTTGGAAAAAACAATTTCCATTTTAAAGTTGGAAAAATAAAACAAAATAATAATAACGCCGTGTGGTCCCGGGATAGAAGGGAACTTAATGGTCGAGAGATGAGCACTAGCGTCTCTTTTAAAACATCTCCAAAGGCTAACCGCGGTTGCCAAGTCGCCGCCTAAACCCCCCTTATAGGCGAGGCCTATGCTCAGCAGTGGACAGTTAATGACTGTTTCGTATTTTTCGGATAATGTTGTATAGTAGTAGTGAATTTATTAAAATACAGAAAGCTAATAACATATTTACACATAATAATAATAAATATACTTACATAAATAGCAAGAAATTTTATTTATTTATTTCAAGTAAACAGGTACATAGACAGTATATATTCTTAGTGCTGCGAAACTGCATTGTTGTTTGTCTGCAGCTTTGCGCTCTTGTACATACAGCTTTTTAAACAATTATAAACTTATATTCTAA